CCAACATTACTGTAGATATGTCACATTAGAGGAGAAAGGTTGGTAGAGGAAGAGGATTGTGGGAGGCTGTCTGTGACGAGGTGTTTGCGAACCTTACACCGTGGTTTAAGCTTGTTCCCTGTCGTCAATCACTTTGACTTTCCTGATTGACAACATCCGATGTGTTCTGCTGGCTGACAATCTTTCATCTCTCGACCACAGAAGACGCTCAGAAACCAAACTCATCATCATTTAATGCTCGCATATTAACTCTTAATCGTGACATGGGTATCCTGAGTGATCAAGCATGCATTGACTTAAAAAAAATTATCATATCACCCTCAGTCCTGTCTCCCCTCGTCACCATTTCTTATTCCCCTCCCCACCCCGCACTTATCATATACCTTCTTTTGATATTGTTATCATTTCATTTTCACGTTTGTCCATCTACTCTATATTACATTGTTTATCACACCAAAGATTCATTATCTTGTTCCCACCACATACCATATCCCTGTGTCTTCATTATTGTGTATTTTTGTATTTATTTTTAGGCTCTGTTGCAAATTCACAACCAGGTGTCTGAAGTCTTTGTACTGTGAATGATGCCAAATTAAACAATTATTTATGTGAATGTGCGAAGTAGGAAAATATTTTGAAGGTTAACAAATACTTCGAATGCCGAACCCTCACACTGTTTTAATGTACAATTAATGATTTGTCAGTACTTTTTCAATATCTTGTTTGCCTGCTTTTGACATTTCTGTCTTTATATCGCTCGCTCTTTCATTCGTTTTGCTACTCTATTTCTTATGCATTCATTCATTATTTTTATCTTTACATCTAAAATGCTCACCAATGTCAAATCGGCTCTGTAATGCTTTTAAAATTTTGGCTTTTATATTGTATATGCTGTAGTTACTTACGGGTTGTTGTGGCTGAGGCTTAGGCTTAGCCCTAGGCACATGCTTAAGTCTAGGCTCGGGCTTAAGCATAGGCTCAGATTTGAGCGTAGGTCCAGGCTTAGACTTGAGCGTAGGTCTAGGCTTAAGTTTAGGTATATGCCCAAGCTGAAGTTTATCTATGACTTTAGGCACATGTCTAGGCCTATGTTCATCATGACCACCATACTTCATTGCTCCTGGATGCTTTTCTTCCGGATGTATTGCCACCATAAGTTCTTTTCTCTCTCGATCTATACCAAAAAGAAGAATTATAATTAAAAAAAAAAAATTAATAAAATACTATAATTAACAATAATAACGATATTAAAAGTAGAATTAATAATAATATTAATATATTATCAATAATAATATGAATAACGATAACTATATCAATATCAACAAAAACAATAATTATAATATGATCAACAAAAATAATCAATTTTAAAAATACTAATAGGCTATAACCGTATGATAATTTAGAAAACAATTCCTTTCATTTATATATCGCATATCTATTTTTACCTGATGAAGGTTCCACAACATATTGATAAATGCCGTACACAGTCAAGATTGTTGCAACAACAATAACAGCTCTGCTAGCCTTCTTGAGAGTTAGTCGCACCATGTTTTTCAGTACTGTACATGTAATAGCTAAGCAAAATAAAAAACATGTTATTAGGCCTTCTCGTTTTGTTCGTTTTCTTGGTAATGTTTAACAATGCATGCAATATACAATTCCACGTCTAGTAACATACCATGACTTCGACTGATCACTGGCTTTACATTCTTTATTCATGCAAGCATGACATAATTGACAGAGGAAAATATTAAAATCATGCTAAATGAGAAAGAAATACCCTGCAATGGCGTAACGATGGCGCCGGGGGGGGGGGATTTTTTTTATGTGCTCGTTTTTTAATCATTGTATTCTGAATGTTTTTAACCACGAAATAAATGATATGATATCATTAGAGCAGGAATTTGAAATAGAGAACCAGGGAAGTAATTTCACAGATGGCGGGTACGGGCTCAGCCCCACCATATTGACGACTATGCCAACCCTTTTGCTATCCGGGGAATATCCCTATTATTCATGCAGTTCACTACCACAACAATTTTTCATTCCAAATCGTGCCAATTTATAGGCCGATTCGTGGTGGAGTTAAACAAAACGAAAGTGTCTTGCGAAGGATACAAGCTAATTGATCTTATTTAAATAGCCATACTATGTAGACTCAATTCACTTCGGCCTATGGTAGGCCTGATTCAAGTTTATTAATAATTTCACTAGACCTAGAATAGAAGCAAGCCTAAAATAAACCAGGAATAATAACATTAAATTCGAGCGATTATCTAGCTCCACTTATGACCACGTGAAAAATTATTCAAGTTTTAGACAGAAAATATATTGTTATAGAGTTATTATATGATAAAATGTGTTTTTACACTAATAAAACGGACGTACCTGTAGACTTGATGGCCAGGCCTATACCTTTTAAAGAGGGCTTTAATGTAACGTGTCCAAATAGGACGGTCAAACTTTAAGCACTGTTCAGTTGCTTTCATTGACGTCTCGCCCGTGAATTGGGACAAAATACCAACTGATGTACATCGCACTATATTGTTTGCTAATAGCATATTGTTGTGGAACAAGATCCAAGGGCAATATTTGTATTTGTTAACTTTGCCAAAGGTGTAGTATTAACGTTCCACTTAATAGTTCGCTTTCAGACCATTGCCAAGAAATGCTCTTAAGCTATACAATCTAAGTACGTAACTTGTTTTTGTCGACCTGTTTCTCTGTTTAAAAAGGCCTAATTGTCAAATTATGACAATTTCAAAACATTTTTGGCTGTTCTGCAGGTTGCCAGCAGCTACTTCCGGGCATCTAGAGGTCCCTTATACCAGAAATCGCTGCTGGGTGTCCACCACTCTATAGCTTTAAATCCTGTATCACGTTCCTGGAAAATGTGGGTGATAGAGATAGCAACTGTGCATGATACCAGCCAATTTTTATTAAGTCCCCCCCCCCCAAGTTCTGAAAAAGGTATCTACGCCCCTAGTAAACAAATTGGTTAATGATAGAAAGTGTGCTCCAATTAGGAGGAACAAAGAATGCCTTTTGAGCAATAAGATTTGTATGTTCGAATCCGGCCGAAAGCATCTTTTTCTTTTTTTTCCAGACAAACGATGAGTTAACTTTTAAGAGCTGTTTTGATATAAGAAACAACATTTGATTTCTATTTGAGCACTGTTTTTATCATTTGCCAATTTGTTGTATTGGCACAAAATTACAGACTAAAGTCGTGAATGTTTGAAAAAGAACCTTTCGTGAAGATCTATGCTTGATACAATTATAACATCTAGTGATCTCTGTACGTATTGTATAGATAACTAATACCGGTGCTGTACGAGCATACAGAAGAGAGTCAAGCACAGTTGCCATAAATCAGGACCGAATTTTCACCGAACCAAAGTTGGTATTAATTTCTATCATCCATTCCGGGCTACCGTATTTCTGATAGACCCGAGGCCCGTCAAGAGTATGCGGTTAGCGGCAATCTTGGGACATTAATAATTTATGATCGTTTTTCGATTGGTTAGTAGGAATCAGCAAAAAGATAATCCGTTCCATACTTTACCACCCGACCCTTTACTCATCATATAGGCCTAGGCCTATTCCTTTTTTGCAAGTAGGGTCTACAGTGAATGAGTTTTGTGTATAGGCAAAGGCCTATTTAGATTGTTAATGATAACATATGCTGAGTGTTTTGTTAAGTTTGTTGTACATTATTTAAATTACATTACACAAATACCCCAAAACCTCGAATAGACATGAGGCTTAATCTCGAATCTCTGAAGCCCCCCTCTTTACTTTGCAAAAGTAGCCTCGAACAGAAGCCCATCTTGAAAAGAAGCCCATCTAAAGTTCGCAAAAAAAAACCAAAAAAAAAACAAAAAACAACAGAAGGCCAGGGCTTCAATTCGAGGTTTTACGATAATATGCGTTTATTATAGCAAATGAATGTTATATTACGGAACCGATCCTGACAGTATTAAAAAGTTGTTTAGCGCCCTCTATTTTATCACACCTGCTTTTCACGCTGCCGCGGAATGTTTACATTTTGTATGAGTTTTATCATCATCGCACATTGACAATTATTGCAGGGATAGGTGAAGAGACAGGCGATTGGTAGTGTAGTGTGTCGCGCTACACTGGTGCTGTGCACGTCTCGTAAGATTGGATATGTAGCGTACGAGATATTCATTTAGTGCATATTCAAGACTGTGATGGTAGGTTGTTATTTCATACATATTAATTAAAGACTCCCTGACGACAGTGATATTAATTTGATATAAATGATTTTAGATGCTGCCAGTGGACACACCGACTCCTGTACACACTAGGCCTATCTTTTGTGTGGTCATCTCGTCCGCCGCCTTGAAAGTTGTTTGCCCTCTGTCCGAGGTATTCGGCCGGTGCATTTGGCAACAATGTATTGGCCTAGCTAAGAAACTTGTCAAATGCATCTATTTTATCTTAACTTGATTAATGTACTCGTCAGTTCAACCTGTTATCAAACAAAGACGCTGCCTTGTTTTGTTAATTAGAATTAACTGATCCTTTTGTCTACACAACACAGTTGGAAAGATAGGCATATAAATAAGCCTAAAACCTAGTAGTCTACCAGTAGTATTATTCGAGAAGACTTTGTTCTACCAACAGAACCCTGGGCGAGGAGCGGCTGGACCCAGCGCCAATGTTAAGGCTGAGTTAGCAGTGCCCCAGCCTTAACACTCGGCCACTTGACTCGTCACATCGATGAAAAAATGCTGGCATGTGCAAATAATATCCATATAACAATAAAACTTGTTAAAACTCTAATATCAATGTAGAAATTTGTTACACTTTATTTTATATATTGATGTATGAACTTATTCGGTGTAAACACCATGGATAGCCCACGAAAAGTCCATGATTATATCATTATCATCAACTAAAACCTTAGTCATACACAATATGCCCCCACCCCCAGTTACAAGTATCATGCCCAATGTGTTCATGGTTAGTATTTTAAGTTGGCTCAGGGTTGCACTGTGAATGTTCACACTTCTCCTTTGCACTAGGTTTTTGCATGAAATGTTATGGTATAAGATGTCAAAGTAGATTGCTATCCAAGCAACCTTGGCGACCAAGGTTTAGTTTTCATTCAGATATAAAGATGAACTGGCCCAGGTTCCTCATTGCAGGACCAGAGGCAACTTTAAAGTCGGCTCTGGGCCGGCTTAAAATTTATGGATTGTTCACACTTGAAAAAAAGTGGCCCCTTAACTATTAAGTGTGATTGGGCTCTTTGTGAATGATAGATAGTTTGAACAGTCTATAATCAACACTGCCCCACCCCATCCCCACTAACCATCCGTAAAGGGTGGATTAAAACCTTTTAAAGGGTGAAGCCTGGTCCACGCAGTGCCCGGTCACCTAAAACTGATAGCCTAGTAGTGAATGAAGAATCAGCAATGAAAAACATAGTTAAAAAGATACTGTACGATTCTTTAGGAATACTTGGTGAGGTACAGTAAGATATTCCTTGCATCTCATACTGTGTGAAATACAATTTTGAGAAGATTCGCCATTAGTAGTACTGTATGCCAGCGAAAATTAATTCATAACCTTCAGAATAGTAATTATATTTTTGTATTAATTATCTTAACAGCTGGTATTCTTTTCTTTTTTTTTCATGTATTACAGAGCATTGGCTAGATTTGTTGGTGGATGATTGTCTGGCCATCTTGCAGTGAAATATTTGGAGCTTATTGGCCAACATCATTTGTTGATGGTGGTAGAGGGAAAATCAACAAGTGACCATCACAGACAGAAGAGGCCCAAAATGGCCGCATCAGAGCATACCAGCCCGTCAGCGTCTACCCCATCAAGAATGGCTGAAGCGCCGCAAGCACGTTTTGAAGAGATTGAAATATGGCTTGACCAGCATCCTGAGTTCACACACGACTATTTTGCACGGAAAGCAACACGAAGTATGATCGATGGTTGGTACATCGCTACCGCTGTTTCGCAGGGTGTCAAACCGGCGGCTGGTGACGTTAACCATTCACCAAACAGCTCATCTGGCAGCAACACGCCTGTAAGGAAAGTATCCGCCTCAGATTTTGAACTTCGTGAAGCTGGTGGTTCGCTTGGTCGTATGGTTCAGACGGTTGACGGTTCACCAAGCTTTCTCGGCCCATCTCTGCAGCGCCAAGGGAAATTGTCGCCTCCGGTGCGATCAAGGAAGTCCATCAACGAACTGAAACAACTTGAGGACCGGAGAATTCTTATGGAGCTTGTAAAAGATATTGCCAATGATCTTGACCAGAACAGTCTCTGTCACAAAATTTTACAAAATGTGTTGATCTTGACTCGAGCAGATCGTGGATCACTTTTCTTGGTTCAGGGGAAGGGAACCGAGAATTGCTTCCTCGTGAGCAAACTCTTTGATGTTACGATTGATTCAACTGTCGAGGAGTCTGTTGGTAAAGAGGTAGTGAAGGTACGGTGGGGTAAAGGCATTGTGGGATATGTAGCGAAGACCGGAGAGACAGTCAATATTGCAAATGCATATGAGGTAGGTTCTAGAATATTAAATATATCAGATTTTGACATTAACATGCATTCATTAAACATGATTATGATATTAACTTAAAACACCATTTATTATTATTATTATTATTATTATTATTATTATTGTTATTATTATTATTGTTATTATTATTTTTGTTTGAATTCATTTAAAAATTCCTATCAATATAGGCTGCACCAGGGCTGAAAAGACCTTTTCAAGTGTCCACCAAATTTAACAATTAACCAATTACAGGTAGAACCCGTGGGCTAAATCTATGTTTGTACACAAACACAGAAGTTTACTTAAAGTTACGACTTTTAGGACCTTAGCAATAATATACAAAGGGTGAAGCTCAAACGGTCCATAGGACGATAACCACTGAATAAAACATAAATAAACAATAAAGAATATAAACAAGATAGGCCTAGTAAGAAATGTAAATTCTACTTTTGGGGATCAGATTCAACACTAGCCTCTAAGCTCAAGCTTGGTGGCCTAGTGAATACTATATGACACCAGGCTAGTTATCTCGAAGTTGTGAGTTTCATTCCCACAAAAATCACTTGGTAACGTACAAAGTATTCAGTACAATAACACAACAGGTAAGGCAAAACATCATTCATATTTTCCTGACACAAACAATAAAAGTAGAATTCTTATGAATTATTGTTATTATTACATAATCGTTGTCTAAATTTTATTTGCTATTGGTGAATAATTATTGTGATTAGTATTATTAACATATATATTATTTTACCAACTAATTATTACATTTTACTTATTGTAATGTTTACAACCAACCATCCTTCAACCATGTAGGACTAGGATATATCTGCCATTATATAATCCAGTTATTTGAAGGACAAGGCAATCAAAGTAAGCCTAAATAGAATGGAGTTTATTATGCATTACTGTATTCTATTATGTGAAGTCTAACTACAGTAATTATCAAATATCTATCTGTAGCATTTCCACCTTGCTATTTCCAGACTACACAGGGTTGAGTGGCTTGAGTGAAAAGAAAAACTGGTGAATGGTAATTCTGGTTTTCGCTTTGATCTTACCAGTTCATCATAAAACTTTCAGGTACTATTGTTACTTGGTTGGTCCCTGGGTTGGCCATTCACACTCAATAGCTCACCCACCTTTTGTTTAGCTTCATAACTTCCTCCCCTCAGGATCCAATAAGCCATGTCTGAGGGAGTTGTCGGTTTTTTTCCCCAATTAACGGCCCAACTGGGTACAATTTCATGTCATCTCAAGGACTATTAAATCTACAGCTTGAACTACAACAGTACCTTATCAATGCTGGTAAAACTCCACCAGACACCATCCCATTTATTCAGGTTTAGGGAAGAATTGTAAACAGATAATTCAAACCAAAAATTAAAGCATCGCTTATACCAGTGACGTAACGTCTATGTGCTCTCGTGCGGCTTTCCGCATTGCCCCCCAACTCCATCGTTACGCCTCTGGTTTAATCAGGATTATTACATAGCTTCGCAAGTGGAACAAATTTTTGTACAAATTTGGTAATGTTTTGAAAGAACATTTTCTTTAAAAATGGTGTGGAAGAGGCTTCCCTGACTGCTGGAGGAGGTGTATTCCTTAATAGCGAGACCAGACATTGAAAATGCTCTGTCACTGACTCGTTTTATTGTACTATATGTGGTATTGAGAACAGCTTTTTAGATGATAAGCGAACACTGCCAGCAAGATTGTAGTGGTTGATATATTTGCTAATATTTTGCACGATTTTAAGGAGTGCAAGTTGTTTTGCATTTTTATTTAGTTTACAATTTAATTGGCATGGACCTGTATTGACCAATTATTACTGAAAAGTATAGTTTATTAATGAATTATGGTCATTTTAAGTTAATTTTTAAAGTAACCATGATTTCAGGATTTACTACATTTTACTATTACTGTGTAAAAATAATAGCCATTCATAAAACATTTAGGACTGAAAATATCTTGCTAATGTATTGTTCAGGTAATTGTCTGATCTGAAGGACAAGGCAATGTAATTGTAAGTAAAGCTCTAATTAATGTATATTATCAATGGACTATTGATCTTGGATTTCAGATTAAATTGCATAATTATGATTATAGCAGAGATGCTGAGAAGGAACATATTTTTTAAAACAATTGGATGTGAAATATCATAAATCTTATGGATATTAATATTATTCATTTCAAAAAGTGACTTTTGACTAATTTTACAGTAAATTACACACCATGAATAGCATGTGGCATAGTGGTGGTGCTTCCAACCAAGCTTTTGGTTCGAGTCACTGTTCACATTAATTTGTGACCTTGGAGAAAATAATAGTACATGGGTCTGTATTATGGATATCAAGTCTGTTGTTGGATGTGTGGATGCCAAGATGTTTGGACATGCTGGCCTTGAAAATTGTTAGAAGGATACTGCACTAATATTATTTAATGCATATTTTTTATTTATGATCATTGCTGTAATTATTTTTATTCTTATTGATTAAATAATATTGTGGAGAATAATTGTAAAATGTAGAGTATGTTCAGTAACTGCACAGTAAGGCACCACATGGTAGTTAATCAAATTGAAGATGTCATTATTAAATAATTACAAATAAATATATCATCTAAATCTATGTAGATACTCATCAACGATGTTCAGCATCTGGATGAGGGCAGGGGCTTGAGATGAACCATTACACCGGGGTAACCCCCTACCTCGTCTCGAAAAATATACTGGGTTCATTATAGTGCACATGAGCCGTTGTGTACACTCGGCCTACGGTTTATAGTCCTTATCCGAGAGGACTTGCTCCACCTCCAGAGCCATAGGCGGGCGTGCCGTTCAAACCAGCACCGATATTATGGCTGTACAGTAGGTTACAGGCTCCTGCCTTAACCGCTCGGTCATTCGACTCGCCAATTAGCATCCATTATCTATTGTGATGGAAATATAAATTTTAATAC